ACAATTCTACAACTGGGAGCTGTGATTTTTGTTGGATTGGAGCCTTCCTTTGGGTTTTGTTGCTTTGTAATGGGGGGGCCAAAAAAGGATCCCCCCGCCCCCTAATAAAATCACCTTGGAGGGTACAGTTAACTGCAAGCTTAATGAGGTCCTGCTGTGTAATGTGGCTACTAAAATGTATCCCAGCTTCTGGACTGTGCACGGAAATAGAAATGATCTTATTGCATGTGTTGGTCCTGTTGTTCTAGAGTATTATTCACATGTTGGAATGTGTGTTTAATTCTGGATGTCACCTTTTTAAAGGGAAGTCATTCCAAATTGGGTAATCAGAGAATGAGGGTTTGAGACATCATGTCACATAAGAATGATTCAAGGAACTATCCACTACTTGTCTTAGCTTTTTTGTTGATTTCGCTTTTTGCTATTTGGTCGCTTGTTTTAGTTCAGTGAACAGACGTCAAAGGGAAGAGTTCTCAGAATATGTTAATATAGACTTCTGTATTCTGACAGTAAAAATGGCAACAATTAGATGGATGTTAGAAGTATTCATCTTGGGATTTCACCTCATCTTTCTTTACCTTTGCCTGTATCGTGATGGAGGTTAGAAAGTGACGTGAAATGGGCAGAATGGGGAACTAGTGTGTACAGCAGAGCTTCTGAAACTTTAATGTGCATGGGAATCACCAGAGGATCTTAAAATGAGCCTGCATTTCTAACAAGATGCCAAGCGGTTAAGGCACTGGTGGTCTTTGGAGCACACTTGGAGTTGCAACGGTATGGAAGGATGTACAAGGCTGTTATATCTCTAACCTGGACTGTGGGCTTTGGAGAATTGTTAGATGGTGCTGTTTACTGCAAGGTGTGTAGTGTCTTCATGTGCTTACCTTCTGTGCCCCTTTTTCTTACATGTCTGTTATAAAACTTGGGGCAGCATGAGGTTATGCTGTTATTTTTCCTTTTAATGAAAAGATCATGTATGACCATAAACATTCTAGTTTAATTCCTGACCTGTTGCCATTTTCAAAGTTATTTCAAAGAATGGTAGACATTTTACAAATGCAAAGAAAACCCTGTCACTTTTACTTTTAAAGGTCTTATTACTCAGTCTTCCATTTGCCAAAGAAAGTGATTTTTCGCAGTCAATAGCCAAGTGAATCTAGATCTATGTGAAGATTTTTTTCCCTCCCCCCGCTACAGCCAGCAGACCCAATTATTTTTGTTTATTTCAGTGTTTGCAAAGCATCTTTTGGTCTTGGGGAGAAACAAGTAAGAGATGGGGGGAATGAGGAAAGGTGGTGTGTCATCGGGAGCCTGATTGTTCTTCTCAAGTTTTAGATGGTCTGTTAACCTAGAGGTCTTATGGAAACTCCAAATGACAAGAGCTGTTTTTAAATCAATAATGCAGTTCACAAGAATAGACACACACTCTGGGCAGCTGAATTTGCATCAGAATGAGGCTGCTAGACTCCATATCAGTGGCTATGCCTCCTCCTGTGTCTGCCTTTATTAAGCTGACCAGTAAAGTAGAATGGACTGAATGCTTGGCTACTTTGTTCCTTGGAAGAAGAACAGGGAGAACTCAGAAGGGGTATTTTGTGAATGAACTGGTTGGTGTTTAGCTGAGGGTAAGGGACTGCAACAGGGGCCGCGGATTTGGGCCCTGTAAGGCCATGTGGACTTGGAGATGGGCGCTGTTTTTTGCAGGGAGCTCTAGGTGGTGGCAGAAGGGGTGGTGTGGCCCCTGTGTTAGGACACTGACACGCTTACTGCTGAGAATGTGAGGTGTCGCCTGGCCCTGTTGGATTAGTCACCGTGGGGAGTGTTTTTGGGGAGGAGCTGTGGTTTCAGTCAGGAATTAGAGTGATTTCAGGCACTTCACTTAACCCATTCTGGAAGTTGGGCACTGGCAGGCCAAGTGTGGGTAATGGTACATGGGAGGTGTGAGGCTGAGTGTACAGTTTTCAGAAATCCTGAGCTCTCACTCTGTCAGGCATGTTTCAGGTGCTGAGCAGGAGAAACGATTTCCTGACTCCATGGAGACATTACTTCTCAATGAGACAGCTGCTGAAAAGGGGGCAATATAACAGAGGGCTGGACTTAAAGGTCATAGAAGCTCTTGGGCTGGGGGGTGGCCGGGGAAGAGGGGGGTTCACCGGAGTTGCTTGACTTCTGGTGAGGGAGTTAGTTACGTCTGGGTTGTTTTCTAGAGCGCTCAGTACTTGGTCCTTCAGAACTATGGTAAGGGTGGGTAAGCGTTAGGCCTCTGAAATACCTTCTTTCCGGCTTTCCAGGACTCGCAGCTTAGGTTGCACAGCCCTGTGCTGCCTCGTGGTTGGGTGCAGGCCCACCTTGCTAGCCTCCCAGTAGGGAGGGGTGTAAGCGGAATGTAGCGATTCATCGTGACTCTGCAGCTGTGAATGGCAGTTGGATTTCTAATCTCTGAATTCTTACCTGCTGAGCTTTTGGAAACAGAGCAGAGCCGACTTCTTACCTGCTAGGTTTGCACGTTGCATCAACACTGAGGGAAGTCTTGACCAGCATTCTAGATTATAAAAGAACTCGTGTGTGTGTGTGTGTGTGTGTGGTTTTGTTTGATTTTTAATGTCTAGAACTGGAAACCCCATACTCTGTGTCCTGGATTTGCTTCTCCTGTATTTAAAGTACTTTATAGGGGTCATGGGGCTGCTGGTGTCAACTAAGTGAACCTTAAATGCATCTTCCTTTGCAGGAGTTTTCCTCTCACATGGTTTATGTTTTAATTAGATATTAGTTGTCGGGGTATAATTCTCCCATATGGAGGCCTGGAGCCAAAATGAAGGCACCAGTCTGAACAGGAAGCAGTAAATCGTCACAGGAATTTTACATTGAAAGCTATTTTGGGGCTTTACAATTTATAAACTCTGTGTATGTAGGAAATAATCATTTATAATCACAGCCTGGCTTGTTGTGGAGACCTGAATGCTGAGGGTAGGAACCTGGGGGTGGTGAAGAGAATTCTGCCCGACAGACTTCCCTGGATCCTGAAAGGTGGAATTCAGCCCAGCGAGCATGAACTCTTCCCGAGGTTAAGATTATCATTCAGTTGAAACCAAAATGCTAGAGGCATTTTCACACTGAGGGGCGTTGCTTGTTGCCAAGAGTGATTCATTGTGCTTTCCACGTGTTGTGTAGCTGAATCATTTGCCTCTTATGCAGGTTGGTTCCTTGGGCTCCTCAGGTGGGGTCTGGTCAGAGCGCTTCGTTTTCCTGGTTTTCAGCCATGCAATTGGCAGGTCTCTGGTGACTCGGACCCAGTGGTGGTTAAGAAGTAACCTGTGTTCCTCCCGCAGGGTGGAGGCCAAGTCTGCCTTCAGCCTTCATGTGTGGACTCGACCACCACCCTGGTCTGTAGATGCCTTGTCTGTCTTAGGAGAGCGACTGGGGACACAGGATGTGCCTTCTGCCTCTGGAGGTGACGGAAGCCTCGGCTTGGCAGGTCTGCAGAAGTGAAGGACATCCGGGCTAGGTGGAAATCCTAGCTCTTTTCTCCCAGGCCTTCTCTTCCCCTTGTTATGGAAATGGAGAATCACTGTCATTCTAAGAAATTCTGGAAGCTTAACAGGAGCACCGCCTCAGTTACTTAGGGTTTTAGAGTCTGTGTGGTTGGATTTCTAAGATGTAGTGTGTGTTTATGCAGCGTTTAGGAATTTGTGAGCTGGAGAAGACCTTGGATAATCTATTTCCCTTATCTCGGCCCCTGGAGGGTTTAGTTGGCCGGGTAAGTGGCAGGGAGTAAAAAAACCCAGTTCTGTTGGATGTTGAGTGTAATAGCACCAGCCTGACTCTAGGGTATTTGGCCTCCTGTTTGAACAAAAGGAACCTGAGTATCCCAAATCCTGCTTTACTGGGGTATTAATGTTTTCCTTATTCTCTTAAGGCCCCAAATAACTGAGAAGCCCATAATCCTTCCATCTCTAAATTGAACTCATAAAATGCTTAAGTCTTGAAGTAGGTGTGTGACTGTAAGAACTTGTTAGATTAGCAAACAGTAGGCAGATATCCACAGAAGAGAACCTGTGAGTATCCCAAGCTGTGTGAAGCAACTCTTTAAACCTTAAAATAAAAAACTCTCTTGCCGGTTCCCTAAAACAGTGAACTCATTTGGGGCACCGGTATCGACCATCTCCGTCTTTCCAGACTTGGCTGTTGTCCTGCCTCAATCCCTGCTGGTCTGCAGTCTGTCGTTCTGTGTTTACTACTGGAATTGCTGGAGTGCCCTCTGGTTCTTTGGTGTGCCCCCCGCCTCACCTTTATTTTGACATAAGGGAGCCACACTTTTAAATGAGAATCTTCAAGACCTATTGTATGTATTCTTTTTCAAAAATCATCCCCCCATCCCCCTGCCACCCCGTTCTCTAGTCCACAAAGATCCATTGCCCTTTTCTGCAGTGGTCCCTCTCCCTCTCTCGTTTTTGTGATTCATCACCTTAAAAGGCCAGTACAGATCCAGTTTCATTTCTTCTGACGGAACTGTAAATTCCTTGAAAGTAGCACCAAACCACAACACCAACAGTAAGTAAACTTTCCAAAGGGGTGTAGCTCGTGTCTGTAAGGTGCCTACATTCTGGCATTATTCGCTTTAAAGAACTCCAGTACAGTGATGCATTACACCTCCTGTTGTGACTGCAATAACTCCTTTTTTTTCTAAACTTTGCCAGGAATATAAAACTTCTCTATTACCAGTGAATGATGGGATTTGGTGCGGGGCATGTAAAGGAAGTGCGATGCTTGTGTCTCTCCTCCAGTCCCTTTACAGCCTGAGGGGTAGCTCTTTGCTTGTGGTCTCTCCAGGAAGGGCCAGTGCCCTCCCTCCACTATAGGAGGTAGTTCTGAGCTCCAGAACTTGGTCTCAGTCACTTAATACTTGTTTGGGATTTGTTGGTTTTATTCTGACTCTTAATTAACATTTGCTTGCTTTCCGTTAAGTAATCCCCTCTCCCCATTCTTCCTTGTTTCTCCAGGATGACAGTGATGGGATTCCGTGGTCAGAAGAAAGGGTGGTACGTAAAGTCCTTTATTTGTCTCTGAAGGAGTTCAAGAATGCCCAGAAGAGGCAGCATGGTGAAGGCATTGCTGGGAGCCTGAAAGCAGTGAATGGTGAGTGGCCTGTTTTGTTGTTTTGGATGATGTCTCTGGGCCTGGCCTTGTTTCCGAAATGGATGTGCTTTGGGCGGCTCGTGCTTCGCAGGCTGGGCCCCTAACGGTAGTTATTCTGGACATCCCGCTGGGTTTATAGATTTGTTTTGATGCTCCTTTGTATGTTGCATAATATAATTGGCAAGGTGCCTTAGTCTGCGCCCTATAGACAAGACCAGGGCTGCGATCTGGTTTCTGCCCGTTCTTGGATTGAGTGTGGAGCCTGACTTACAGGTTTTTCTGTGAATATCTGTCTTTCTACCCGAGTATGAGGGCAGAAGAAGCCTTTGATGATCTCGCTGAAATGGGGCAACTTCGGTGCTTACGCCCTGTTTATATAGGAAGTAGCCTGAACCGGTGGGCCTGCTGCCCTTCTCGCTCTCTCTCTGGCTCAACAGCCTCCTCAGGCCCTGCTTCCTTCCTTGTTGATCAAGCTGGCAGGTGGCCGCACAGCCACAGGTGGGCAGTGGAGGCAGAGTTCCCGTGCGTCCGAAGCGTCCCTCATCCTGGATGGGTATCAAGTGGGTCCTTGAAGCCTGGAGAGAAACATGCTCCCGTCTGAGTTTATTCTGGTGTCTGTTTTTAACAGGGTTAGTGTGACTCGGATGAAATCATCCAGTGAACACCATTTCAGAACTAGCATTTGGTTACTATTTATATTTTATTTCGGGGGTTGTGGCTGCGGCTGTATTCCACAGCCTCTCTTGTTCTCATTAATCTCCTAGAATCTTAGATAAATGTGAATGAATTGACCGTGTTCTGGTTTGTACTTGTTTGGAGTGAGGAGATAAGGAAGAGGAGATCCTATTATCCTTTTTTTAATTTTTTTTACGGTACACGGGCCTCTCACTGTTGTGGCCTCTCCCGTTGCGGAGCACAGGCTCTGGACGCACAGGCTCAGCGGCCATGGCTCACGGGCCTAGCCGCTCCGCGGCATGTGGGATCTTCCCGGACCGGGGCACGAACCCGCGTCCCCTGCATCGGCAGGCGGACTCCCAACCACTGCGCCACCAGGGAAGCCCCTATTATTCTTTTTGAGGTCTGGCTGTGATCCTCCGGTAAGAGTCATCACACATGGGGAACCTGACATCTTGCCAGGGGGCAGAGCGACAGGCTGACTTAGGGCGTCCAGTTTTTTTCCATCCTGCTTAGTTGTAAGGTGAGTTGTCTGGGAGCCTCTTGTTGGAACCAGTGCTTCCAGACAGGACCTTCTGGCGCTCCCTTTCCACAAGGCCGTGGCGGGGTGTTCTGACGTGGCCTTCCTGAACACCACCGGGGTCTGCCCTGCCATTCACCCAGGTTCTGTCACCCTCTTCTAGCACTGTGTGACTTGAAACAAGAACTGCCTGAAGTCTGAGCCAATGTGTATGGGAAAGGCCCGTTTTGAATCTTTCACACATGCAGAAGCAAAATAATTTGAGGAATCTGTTGCCACAGTTAGTTACACAGCTTGGACCCCTATCTGTTCATGGGTCTCCTACCAGGTAGGGACCCCGCCATTTCTTGGCTGCCTGTAATGGAGTAAATGCTAAGCCATGTGTCTTTTTAGAGAGCATTTGACGTGATCAGTCTTGTTGACGTTGCTTCACATTGAACATACTATTCTGCTCTTAAGTTTTTGAGGGGAGGGTGACGGGGGGAGAATATCACTGGATCCTGGGGTTATAGTAGAGCAGTGGCTGCTGCTACGGGGTTAGATTTTACTGCTGTGACAAGGCATGCTCTCATTCTATTGTTCTGGAATGGTGATGCCTTCGTGCTTTAGGAATCTTTTAACAACTAAAAAACCCACCCAACTGGGAAAAATCCGCTTTTAGGACAAGAAGGTAGCCAGGTGTCCAGGATTGAATAATGGTGGAATTTGGGTAAAAGAACAAAAACTAAGATAAAGCATTCAAGAAGCAACTAGTGCTGCCAGCTAGCTGGCCAAAGGTAGCTCCTGTTTTCATTGGCATACTCGGGGCTTGACGATCCCGAGGAAGGAATTCTAAGAAAAGTTGGCACGTACATGTCTATTGGGATCATTGAAGACTTTAAATCATTCTTTTACCACCTCCATAAAAAAGGTGGTCTTTGTTGTTTGTCGTGGTAGTTTGCCTTTCACCCTGATGCAGACTGACTTGCCTTTCCCTCCCTCCCTCCCTCCTCCCCCCTCTTTTGGTTGTGAAGTTGGTGCCTTTTTCTGGTTCATGTTGGTGTTTGTGCAGGCTGTATTCCAAGGCCACCTTTTTGTTATTCCGCATGTTGGATTTCGATAGCAGTTCTAAGTAAATACATCTCCTCGTTTTAGAACTTGTGTGTGTTTTAAGCATAATTTTCTTAAAGGCAGCTAGCATGTTAAACAATGTGTGCTTTCTTACTCGGGGGCTACTGGAAAGCATGGAAACCAGACGCGTTACCATGGGAATAAGTCCCTCTCTGTAGGTCCCCGAATCTCAAGGGTGCTGTCCTAGGGGGGTGTGATCCAGAGAAAGCTGAAGTAGCCGGCAGCCTCCAAGGCTCTTGGTGGGGATGGGTAGTGAGAACTGCAAGCAGCCTTCTCTCTGAAGGTGTGTACATATGTGTACATATGTGTGTACATATGTGCGCATCTACATTTATCACTCAAGTTTGAGTGGATGCGTTATAACAGATCATCATTCGTATGCTGTGCAGTAGAGTGACCTTGTCTGGCGCTGTACATCACAGCACACTGTTTGGGGTTCTTCATCGTGGGGCAAGTGAAGATAGGTTAGTGGTGGGGCAAGAGTGGTTTTAACAGTCATGCCTTTCCTTTCCATTTCTCTCTTCATTTTTTTTGGTCCCCTACCCCCTCGAGGTTCCCTTTCAAAAGTTGAAATAATTCCATTGTTTTAGTTTTAATTGTGACAGAAAGTTATCTGACAGTAGAATTTGAAACTGTCCAGTACAGAGCCCTTGCTGGGAGGTGTGGTATGAAACTGGACGGGACAGACGTGAGAGTAGGTGCCTGCACCCCGGCTAGGGCGGTGTTGGTGGGGCTTCTGCCCCCTGTGCTCCCTTTCTCATGCTTCATGGCTTGAGGATCGTGGGTAGGGAGGTACCTCTTGAGACCTGTGGGGTTTCTGTCTGTGAGGGCAAGATGACATTCTTGTTGGTGGGCTCTGTGAGTGTGTTCTCTGTGGTAGTAACTTCCTAATTGCACATGGTTATTTATGCTGCAGTAGCAGAATTGGAATTACGGCTCAAGTAACTTTGAATCCAGTACTTATTTTAGAATCCAGAATGGAGGAAAATGGCATCCTATCTTTGCAACAGTAGTACTGAAAACAAGGTGTTTGGTTTTCCCCCCTGTATTTCAAAGCAAAGATGTTTCTTGGTTATTGGTCTTGCCAGAGTTTCCTGGGAAAATTCAATTTTAAAATAATATCTTGAGTTCACAGTAGAATGGGCTTGACATAATTTTTATCTAATTGGGAAATGAATTGACATCACCTCTGCGAAATCACAGGCATGCTAGGATGATGAACAAGCGGCCCCCTGCCCTGGCCTCCTGTGTGAGGAGGGTCGGGGGCTGGCGTCTGCTAACAGGGTGCCAACAACAGCAGCTTGTCTGAGTGCCTGGGCTCAGCCACGCCCCTTGTGCAGGTCTGGTAGAGACGTAATAAGCCAAGCAGACACAAGATAGTAGAGAGACCTCATACTTTATGTCATAAAATCCATGTTTGCCATCAGTCTTGGTTTGTGGTTCCGAAGTGACGAGGGAAGAATTTTTTTTTGTCCTACTGGAGGTAACGAATCTTGAGTCTGGGACATCCCAGTGGGTTGTCTGTAGGAATTGAAGCCGTTGTTACACAGCTTGTTGGCTGTAGCCAGGCTTCAGGGGAGGCGATGCTAAGGTTTGTGCTGGATGTGAGCCTTCTGTCTACTCTCTGCTGTAGATGGTGCCACTTTTCCCGGCAGTAATAAATTGACAAAAGCTTCAGAAAGGCTGGCAGAGGCAGAGGGCTCGGCCACTCTGAGGGCCCTTGGCCTGCTGGGGCTGAAATTAGGGACATTTAAATAATAACATGCTACACAAATAATGAGTACACATAATTACACAGTAAGAGAGGGGAGCCATTAGCTATATTTGAATTTCATTTGCTTCCTATAAATTTCATCTGAGATCCAGCAAACCCCGTGGCCAGCTAAAGCATCTTGACTGGATTTAAGGGAAGCTGGACTCTCTTTCCTTCGAATTTTACAGTAGTTGTGAAAGCTGGAACCTACACTGAGCGCTTGCTCTTTGCCCGTTGCCGTTCCGGCACTTCACCTGTAGTTTGCTCATTTAACTTTCAGAACCAGCCGTTTTCTAGAAGTACAGGAAACTGCACTAGGGCGGATTAGCAATTTGCTTACACTACGAGTATGGGGCAGACCCAGGATTTAAACCCCAGCTTTCTCCTTGGCTTATAATAGCCACCACTTAAAGAAATAGAAGTAGTTTTGGAACCCCCTATAAAGATAGGACTTCAAAAATACAAAATTGTAGGAATACTTTTTTTTTCAAATAGCAATTTCTTTTGAAGGAGATTTGTGAAATCTTTCGTTGGCAAAGAGACCTCAGAAGTGAGGGGCAGTACAAGTATTTATTCGTGTGACCATGGTTCTGGGCTTCATTAGCACTTGTCATTGAATTGATAGAGGAAATCGAAAAACTGCATTCCTCCTGATTGGTCATCCTTCTTCCACACAGATACATTCATTATTTCTTTCTGTTTCTTCACCTGGGGATATAGATTTGTGTTTTTAATATTGTTGTGGAACCAGCCAGCTGGCAGAGGGCTGCCACTCACCTCCATGAGGTGGTGAGAGAGGGCAGTGGCCTTGCTGGCAACAACTGTCCATTTGTAGCCAAGGATCAAAGCTAGAAGTACAAATATAGGACCCCCTGTGCAAACCGCACCCCCCGCCCCATCCCATTGCTTTTTTAAGAGGGTAGAATTTTGTTGGACTCTTCA